CATTTTGAAAAATTTACTCGGCCAAAAGACAAACTAAAATTATGCATAAACATATACACGTATTCATACGTGTTATATGTTTAGCAAGAATTTATATTGATCCATCACACGCTATGCAGATTTGAAAATTCTTCGCGGCGCTATGTTTGGAGTAATCCGTAAAACTTACATGATTTTCCTATTTTCTTTCGTATAAGAATCTAGAGAAACTAGCTAGCTACACCGTTACTTCCCTTGCACCGTTATATCGTATCTCTCTTTCTCGTTTCTTCTTCCTTTTTTATTCTTTTTATCAACTATGGATTCCCTTTGTCTTTTCGGTTGACATCGAAACGGTAGTTCAGTGACTCGATTTAGAGATGTTATTTATGGATATGGTGGTAGTATTTTTAAGAAGAGACTCGTTCCATTCGTTGTTGGATATATGAGATTATTTTATCGCGTTTCAGAGTTTCGACGTTTCGTTTAATTTAATCATAGATATTTATTATTTAGATTGCATTAACATAACTGTGAATAATAAGCGAAAGAATTTATAGAAAAATCTGAAAGTCTGTTATGAAAATTAATCGTAAACATCCGAGTTTTAAAACTTTCTTCAAGATACAAATATTTATTTCGCGAAATATCACAGATATCTCGTTTATTCTTTACCGAATAGTAATCGGTAATTTTAAGAATCGTAAATTTGTAACAGAAGCGTTATAAATGTTTTCGTGTTATTTTTTCCACGGAAAAACGAAATCGCGTTTATCATTCGGAATAACGTTAAACGATAACGAAATGCGCAAACATGTATAGAATTTCTGATGAAAAGTACAGCTTCAAAGAGTATGATGTTCGAGATATCGATTTGATAGCGGATACTAAAATTTTGCAAATAGCACAGGCATGCAATCCTGATTGGCGTAAAATTCGAACGGTTCGTTATTTCAATCTAAAATAACTAACGTTCAATGCGCATTCAAATTTTCTTGTTTTTTTTTTTTTTTTTTTTTTATTGTTTCATGCTCTTTTTGTGAGTTTACGTACAACTTTACGCAAAAACAAAAGAACGGAAAAATTTGCACATAAGGAAGGATAAATATTAATAAATCAGATATTGTGTTATTTTTGAATGAAATTCGAATAAATCTTTTTCATTTAAATAGTAATTAATCAAATAGTAGAGAAAGAAATAATATTAATAATTTATAATTCTTTGTCGTTTTTTCTTTCTTTTTTAATATTTTTGTTTCTTCTTTAATGTATGAAAAGATTCTAATGTGATCTCTGTCCTCGATCGATGTTTTTTGATGGGAATTAAATAATATGTTTCACAATGGCAGGCAAAGCGTATTATTATTTCAAAATAAAAAATGCTTTTCTCATGATTTGCATACAATACGGGACAATTTGAGAAGCGAACGTTATTGGTAATGACGAAGATTTATTTAAATTTAAAGGATATTCGATAAATTTCATTGATATCTGATTACCTCGTCGAAATTCAACGAGTCGAAATTCACAGATCGATTTGGTTATTAATCATCGATACAGATCTTAAATTAATTTTAATGAATTATTGACAAAAAAAAAAAGAAAAATATAATGGAAGGAAAATAAATTTGAAATGATATTAGAATACATGACGATATATTATACTTTTGTCGTATTTATTTATTATATTCGTACATTTATTGGAAAAGTGAAGCAATTTAAAAATTACCTTCTTAAAGGGAACGACAGTTTTAATCGATATAAGGATGCGTACGAATATTATACAAAATATCAGATTTAATGTTTACAAATTCATTTAGAGGATATTCTATAAATAAAAATATTACAATTGTTTTTTCTATACCAATATATATATATATAAGGATAACATCTTATTTTTATTATATTTTATCGAATGCAATATCAAAGTATACTATTAATTTTAACATTCTTCTATCAGGCTAATGGTTATATAAATTATTTATTTACAAATATCCATAATTGGAACGAATTCGAATCTTTAAAAAAAATGTAAATGCATATATCTTTTTATCTATCGATTCGATACCAATTTTGATCATAGTGTAACAATCATCGTTATAAATCTCTTTATAAGGATGTTCCTCTTTCGGACAATCAATCTTTGTTGGAACCCTAAAAATAGAAGTATGTTTAATTAGATGATATTTCAACGCTCGAACTACGACACAAGTAATACGGGAATGAAGAATGGTGCACATAAAACGAGCATATTGGTGTCCCGTCGTGAGTATGGAACGTATACGCGTAAACGGACACAATTTGTGCCCGTTTAGGCGAGGTGAAAGCGAAATGTTCGAAGTGGGAAATGGAAATACGAATGTCCTCGTGAAAGGAACGAAGCAAGATCATCCTCGAAGCAAAAAGACGTGCGTAGGTTCATTCAGCCAGACGAGTTCTCCCGATTTTTGCCTGTCGGCACTTGTATTATTCCTCGCTGTTGTTCGTCATCACGTGGGTGGAAATACGACGATAAAACGACGAAGTGGGTGGATGGGGGTGGGATATATATATATATATATATTATTTTTATATTATCTTTATTTATTGAAATTTTTATCTTTTAAAATTCTCTTTAATCCTTGTTAGACATCATAATATTATTGTTATTTTCCAACCATTTCATAAATGATTATCATTAACGAGCATGATTCTGTGCAAAATAAATTCTATGCATTGTTTCCAAATATCGAAGATAGTCTCTAAAAAATATTATCGTAGATAATAATTCTTCAATTATGATGTTGTAATAAAAATCATTTTTCTTTATTAACAATATTATTGTATTTTAAATATTTATACGTTTCAAATAATTATTTGTTGTAAATTTGTTTATATAGAATAATACACAATACAATAGATAATAAATGATAATATCTAATATAATCGGTTATAAAATTAAAAGATCTCTAAAATTAACATGGTTGAATTGGATTTTTTCAAATTCCTCTTACACTGAAAAATACAAAGACTTTAGATTTTAAAATTAGTAAATTAGATTTAGATTTAAAAAATACAAAAAGAAAGAAATACGCATCACTTGTAAATTTTAAACATTTTTATTAGCCGAATAATGTGAAAAAATATTTTTCTATTTTTCATTGTTACCGGATATATTCCGGTATCGTTACATCATCGTTCAACTTGGCACCAGTAAATTTACCTATGTATTTCCGTTACCGTTTAATCATTCATTCGAAATTATTCGTTTACCACGCTTATGTATTTCCGTTACCATTTTTTTTTTTTTTTTTTTTAATTGAGGAGAAACTGGATAACAACACCAAAACGGATGAATAAAATAAAAACATTTTATTCAAAATTAAGGTTAAGATAATTTTATACGTTAATCGTACTTATCTCTGATTCTACGTAAATTTGACTATATAAAATTCCTTCAAATGATTTTTACCAACAAACGATTCTCGTACGCTTTGTTTCGTGAAAGATATGAAATCACGGTTAAAAGTATTTCGATACTACTTTGATCGAACATTGAAACTGGCACGTAGTTTGAAAATAAATCTGACAGAACTACCGGTTCTATCCATTCTGCTGGAATGGAGCCGGAATTTCCTATTTTTAGTATTAATATCTATCCTATATTTTTGTATAACTCAAGTTATACATCTGTGATTATGCATCAATTCGATTTTGTTTCATTGCAAAATAGGTATAATTTTTTTGATACAATCATGTAAACATTGAACGACTACATTTTTTTATTATACTTTTTATAAGAGAATAAAATATATATCACTCATTTATTAAAATATATGGCAATAGATATAATAATATATAACGATTTTCTTCATCTTTCGACGAAGGCACATTTGAAATTGTTTTACGATTTCGATATCTGCATACATTTCAATTATTTTTCTCGCAACTTTTCTGTCTGAGAAAAATGAAAAAAAAAAAATAAAAAAAAATTATCTCTTTTAACTTAAACGCAGTATTTCTTATTTTTATTCTTATTATTATTATTAGAACAAGGATAAGAAATGTCAAACAAAAAAAAAGGAAACGGAAACGATGAAAAACGAATCATATTTGCAATTTTCTTTTTTAATATTTAGCCATCTTTTTTAATTTTTATTTCAAAAGATAATGTTGTAAAGAGAAAAAATATTATTCCAAATTAGGAGAGTTTTTTTCAAGTTTTTTTATTTTTCTTTTATCAAGATTTAAAATTAAAAGCATTTGTAGACGACTTGCAGACGATATCCGCACATATTCCCAAGCGATAAACTGTTAAACGTGATTGATAATATTTTACAGTGGGCGTTAATTGTCGATGGTACACTCCTTACTAAAACTGCGCGAACTATTCCCGACTATTATCGTGAAAATCTGAATTATATAAAAATCAACGTCAATTTATTTGTTCATGGACGAATCGAGGGCGAATCAATGACATACATATCATATAAATGATGATGATATTAAAATGGCCTTGCATTTATTTTTCCTTTATAATACTGAGTTAGTATTCTCGTTAAAAGAAACGAAATAATTTTAATAGGATGAGTAATGAAATAATTTGAATAATAAAAAATGAAATGAAATAAATCAAAATTTTAAATAATTAATAATTGATCGAATAAATATGAAAGAATGGAAAATATGATAGAATAGAAGATACGAAAAGAAATGTAAAATCAAAAGAAAAAATTGTATCATAAAATAATATAGAACGGAAGGAATTTAGAAGTTAGAATTTAGAATTTAGATAGAATAAATTAAGACATATTTGTTATAAATATTTATAAATGGGAATAAAATGAATATTTAAATAAAATTTGAATAAGTTTGCCAATTAGTAGTTTCCTAAAATACGTAATTTTCTTTTCTATTTAATCTTTTAAATAGAAACTTGTAGTCATTTATGTTATACTACGCCTTCCTCGCGATGTATCTCCTGCGTTTGATTAATCTTTACGATTTTTTTTTTTCATTTTTTTACTTTTTTTTTTATTCAGGTCGAATCGGTGGATTTGGCATTAAAGATCTTGGATAAATCGCAAATCAGGGGTAAAACGTTGTCTGTTCAGAGGGCAAAGTTTCAAATGAAAGGAGACGCGTACGACCCAGCCTTGAAACCGAAACGGAAAAAAAAGGATAAGGAACGACAAAAAAAGTTGCAAGAAAAGTAAGTCGCATACAGTAGATATTTCATTTTTAGAATTTCTTTCTTTTTTTTACTTATTGTAGATGGATAGTTAATCGTAAGGTAATCGTAAGATAGGATCAAGGTAAGGCTTTTTTTAACTAAATTGCTTTATTTTTCTTTATTTTATTATTCTTTTCTTCTCGAATAATAATGAAAATAAGACAAAATGCAAAAAATGTAAATTTTATCTCTATCTTTAATATGTTAATAATGAAATTATCGCAGTTGAAATATATATACATATATTATCTGCATAGTATACGTGTATTATCTACGTATTCGGTTCGATTTCGGTTTAGTTATTTAATTATTTTAATTAAATTCTAAATTCTTAAAAAAACAATTAATTTCATAGATTTCTATTTATGTTTTATCAGAAAAAGATGCAAACCTAAGATTATTTTAAAAGTATAGTATACTAAAATAAAAAGTATTAAAATAACCGTTTGCGTGAAATATATATATTATATTTTTAATTTTAATTTCAATTTAAAGGGATATTAAATATATTTAAATATATCCAGTGATTTAAAATATATCACAATCGTATTTATCAGAATTTTATTATTATTCTTTATATTTTCTTCGTTGTACAAAAAACCTTGAAGAATTATGTATACTTATCATATATAAATTCAGTGATTTCACAATTACTAAGCGTAGAAAGAAATGTCAAGTCGGTTTTTTCAATATTTTTCAATATGAAAAATTCACAATATTGATTTCGTTCCAAATAATTTCATCTTAAAATCGCATCTTATCCGATTAGTATATTTCGAGCGTTTCTTTTCATTCATGTCTATCTTCATTCATCTTATCTTGTTGGCAGCTGTTTCAGAATTCATTCCAATACCGTACAACGCACGTTACCTCTCAATCTTCTAGGAATCAATATACATATAATAATTTCATCTTTATGCTAGTTAGTCTCTAGTTATATTATATACTACTATATAGTCTCTAGGTATATTATATACTACTATTCACATATCTTTTTCTCGTCAAGGCTTGATTTAAGCGAACGAAGCACAAAAATTCAAATATCGTGTGCAACTAAATTTTTCTCTTACGAAACAACAAGTTGGTAGAAAAAAATTGACGTATATTTCAGAAATTATATCAAATTTGAATATGGTATGCTGTTTGTTTCCAAAATTGTACCATTCAATCATAAGTGACTACAAGTTATTTCGACGTATAGGAAGGCATAAAATTACAGTCCAACAATATCAATCGAGAAATAATTTCGATCTATGGAATATTAATTAAAATTATCATAGCTTTTCCATAATTTCGGAAATCATAAATTCCAAGATCTCAATTCGCGTAAAATCGTTGATCCATCAACGAATTAAATTTCGTTATTATTAAAATTTATCAGTATTCACATATCCATTCACGAATACGGAATTATTGACAATGTATTTGTCAATAGTCACAAAAGTCGTATTCACGAAATCACAATATCGCATTTCATGGATTTTTATCAATCAACAATGTTCACGAATGTGAAAATAATAATATCTATAAGTTTCATAAACAACGTAATATGTAAGTATTCATTTTGATTATGAAACGAAATTACACGAGTTTCGCATGATATGTATAATAATGAGTCATTTTCAGTGTCATTAAAGCTCGATATTGTATTAAAATTTCAAATATTTGATCGAAAATTTCGAAAATATTGATCGATCGATATATTTTCCAATCGATATTATAAAATAATATAAATCAAATAAGATATAATATGTAAATAAAATAAGAATAAATCAAAAATAAAAATATGCATCAAAATAATATTCTATACGATTAATTATTTTACATAGATATTATACGAAACATTATAAATAATAAACACAAAGCTAAAAAGTACATAAAAACGTTCCAATATTTATTTCTCTAGAATTTCTAAGTTTTATTATTAATTCCTGGAATTAGGAATTATTAGTTCTTAATATTAAAATTATAACAATTCTAAATTCTGAATTTCTAAACTTTTATAACGTATATTTTCTCTTTTTATCCTTTCAAAATTGAAATTTCTTCTTTACATATATATATATTTATATACACGTATAGAAAATTATAAAATGTATTCGAAACGAACGAATAAAATCATTTCCCTTCTCCGTTCATCTCTGTGCTCGAGGTTGTGGAATGGAATCGAACGATCGGCAGAGGTGAACTTGATCACGTTCCATAAACCGGATATCACAGAGGCTCGAGATAATAGGGCCAGACTGTTTGGCGTTGGTGAATTCCCGTAAAAGCAGCTGCGCGGCTCAATTACTCACGCGCCATGATGTTAGTATATCGTTCTTGCATCCAGATCACTTTCTTACACATGTCCATTCAATGAGCAAGAAGAAACGATTCTTTTCTCATCTCGTAATCCAGACATACGCGATACTGCCTTACCATGCATCATAACTTTGTTTCTTTTTTTTTCTTTGCCAACGCGATGATCAATAACGATCTTCCGTTCTTCATGTTCTCCAAGGAAATATAAAGAAAATATATAATCGAGCTTTTCTAAGTATTTGAAAGTTCTTGAAATTTTTGATATATAAGTTTTCAATTTTAATCTTTTCACGTAAAATTGAATAATTTTTTAGGAATTAATATCAAAATTCGCGTAGAATTTTTTTTTTAATAGAGACGAAGATATCCATCTGTGATATAGAGATAATAAATGTTTCACGTAATACAATATAATTTTTTCCTCGGTTTTCTTTTTTAACGAATAAAAAGGAAGAAATTGTTAAATGCACGTCGCATGGATTTGTTTTAAAGGAGATATTTTGAAATCTTTTGAAATATCATACAAATTTTGTCACACTTTTGTTTTGGTAGAAATTACAATGTTTTTGGAAATAAATGGAGATTTTTCAATTGATTTGTAATAATCTGAAACATGAAAAAAACATGAAAAATATTACGAAATTGTTGTTACGAACTTGTTTTTTTCTCCAATATCTCATTTTGTTATGGAAGAAGTGGAAAATGATAAAATGATAGATAATTTATAAAATTTATATTGAAAATTTTTAAATCATTTAGTATCGTAAATCAATTAATCGTTCCAATTGATCTCTCTCTCTCTCTCCTCCTCCTCCTCCTCCTCCTCTCTTTTCCTCTCTCTCTTTTTCTATCCCGTTCCCTATTCCAGTTGAAATAGTTTCGCGTTTGAAAATTTCGCGGTTAAGATCGGCATAGATTCTAAAATCTGTGAATATATTTAAATAGAGGGTCCTTATCCGTAGTTCTATCCACTGATAGTGTTCGTAATCATCAGTTAGTCGAGTGTTTGCCGTCTTCATTGGTGCGCACGAGGTATCCGCTTAAGGACGAGAGTTCGATGCCCTGAACTTTGCGAAAACCAGTTATTTACGAACGAACTTGAGGTCCATCTCGACTGTTCCTTACCGGAAGTCTCAGCTCTAACGGTCTTTTCGTGTTCAAATCGGTTTCTATTTGTCTATGTCGTTTTCCTATTCGAATAATTTTCTCTCATGGCCTCGATATCGATCAATCAATTTTCTTTCATGGCTTTCATCAATTTCATAACGATTCCTATGTTTTCAACGATACCACGTATCTTTATAGATTTGTTTTTTCCATCGAATTATTGAGTTTCTATACATATCCTATACATGATTCGTATTTCAATTTTTTATACGATTTCATATTCGAAATCAATAGAAAGAAACGTAATCATTTTTCATTTATGAGATTTTATTTCGCTACTCTTATTTTTACTTTTTTCTTGTAAAAAAAAAAAAAAATTTGGAGATGTTGAATTAAACGAAAGAAAAAATTAGTTAAAAATAAATTTAATTCGTTCGATGATTCCTATCGAAAATTGCTTTACCATTGCTCTTGTTATGTAATATTTATACAATAAGAAATTAAAAAATATATATATATAAAAATCTTTTTAACCTAAAAATGCCGTAAAAATATATATATTAAGTATGTAGAAATATATTAAGATTATTTAATATATTCGATAGTATTATTATCGATAGTAGGACATTATTTCTGGCTTACGTCATTTAGGTCATCAACATGACGTATACCTGTTATTTTGCAACAAAAATAACAATTGAAAATAAAATTTTTATTTTTCTAATTTTTTCCCGCAAATATTACTTGCGATAAGTGAATATTATACAACAAGAAAAACTGTAAAATACTATAAAGTAAATAACTTTCGGATATAATAAATCCAATGCTGTAATTTTCTATTCGACGAGTATCCTTTTAATCCAATTTTAACGATTCTTATTACTCGTATATATGTACATATAAATTTCTATATGTATTTATTTTATCGATATAATTTTATACATAAAAAATTACGTAATACTTTTAATTAATAAATGATTAATAAACTGATTACGCATACAAACAAACTTCGATAAACTTTCGATAAATATTGACCGATACCTTGATAAATTTATTTTCTTTTCTAATTAAATCAGCTTGCGAATTTTATCAATCATGACGTTGTAAATGAAGCATTTGATCTATATGCATTATTGTTGATATACAATTGTCGATTTCATACTTGTTTAATTATAAAATAAATATTATTACGCGATATATACTACATGCATCATAATTCATTCAATCATATACGAATTTAAATAATTAAAGAAACATTTTTTGATTCGTATTAGATATATTTTTTATATATATATATATATATTATATATATTTTTACTATATATAAAATTGAAACCGACTTGACGATATTTATTTCTTGTAAAAAATCATTGCAATTTCTAGTCTACGTCTATTTGCAAATTACAAAAGACCACACGTGCCATTTACTCTTATATCATACCGTATATATTTTTAGTCTTTGTATATAAATAATAAATTTGATTATCTCGTTACGCTCATGCAAATTTACGTTTGAAATTTTACATCTTTACTTTAAATGCAAATTTCATTTTTTATATTTTCTCGCTTAATTGAAAGACTCTTGCAATATACCTATATATGTATATAAAATATAATTTGAATGCAAGTAACAAACACAATTTACAAAAATTAATTCGTTTACACGCGTAAAATCTTTTTAAACGCGAAACAGAAATAATTTTTAAATAATTATAACAAATTACGGTTGAAGCGTAACACGAAGGTATAAAATTGGAAAATTAAAAATTATCAACAATATATATATCGTAATTTATACGAAGTTTATTGATTTATGTCTTCAATTTGTATGATATAATATAAAACTAATGTAACGTAAAATCAATAAAATCTAAAAATCTAAAATTCTAGTATATATATATATATATATATATATATATGTATACATATTATTTTAATTTAATTAAATTAACGTTAATTTTACCTTAAGTTTATTTATTTATTTAATTTATTTCTTGTAAAAAATCATTGCAATTTCTAGTCTACGTCTATTTGCAAATTACAAAAGACCACACGTGCCATTTACTCTTATATCATACCGTATATATTTTTAGTCTTTGTATATAAATAATAAATTTGATTATCTCGTTACGCTCATGCAAATTTACGTTTGAAATTTTACATCTTTACTTTAAATGCAAATTTCATTTTTTATATTTTCTCGCTTAATTGAAAGACTCTTGCAATATACCTATATATGTATATAAAATATAATTTGAATGCAAGTAACAAACACAATTTACAAAAATTAATTCGTTTACACGCGTAAAATCTTTTTAAACGCGAAACAGAAATAATTTTTAAATAATTATAACAAATTACGGTTGAAGCGTAACACGAAGGTATAAAATTGGAAAATTAAAAATTATCAACAATATATATATCGTAATTTATACGAAGTTTATTGATTTATGTCTTCAATTTGTATGATATAATATAAAACTAATGTAACGTAAAATCAATAAAATCTAAAAATCTAAAATTCTAGTATATATATATATATATATATATATATATGTATACATATATTTTTAATTATAAAAATTTTACGAATTTTTACCTAAGTTTATTTATTTATTTATTAAATAATGAAAAAAAAGAATTTTTAATCCACAGATAATACGATAAATATAATTTAAAATATATATAAAAAATATATATGACAAAAAATAAATAAAAGATTTAAATTTTTCTATAAATATACGCACAAAAAAATATTCAATTACTTATAAATTTCTATTATTTATCTTTATTATTTTTGTCACAGATTATTCGATTGGAGGCCTGAACGTGCACCAGGAGAACCGTCGAAACACGAAAGAGTAGTAATTATAAAAAATCTATTCTCTCCGGAAGACTTTGACAAAGAGGTATCCTTACTGCTCGAATATCAACAGGACATCAGATCCGAATGTTTGAAATGCGGTGACGTTCGGAAAGTTGTTATTTACGATGTAAGTACATCTAATACGATCGTTTTTATTAGATTATTCTCGGAAAAATAGATGCACCCAAATATTAGATCATTTTATATACGAGTCCGTATCAACGTATTATTTTTAATTCTAATAAAATAAGAATAATAAGAATGAAATTAAATTATATCTATATATTTCGATCTAATAATATTACTTTGTAAAAAATTTTCTTATCTCAATGTTGTTAATCTCAATGATTTTTTAATAAACTGTTTCACGTAATAAATTTATTTTATCTATCATGCTTTTAATAATTAATGAAATATTAATGAATTCACGAATATCTATAAAAAATCGATCATTAAAGCATCAATTTAGATCGATTATTAAAGCATTCTGTGTCGCTTAGATCATCACCGTCTAATGAAGTAATGCCACGTAATATTTTATAACTGTATATATGTACTTACAATCCGTGTATGTGCGCTGTACAATCGAATCGTTTTGTCTATAGATTTCTCTAATGACCCATGCAAAATGGAACAGATCTTTCTTCTTTCAATATCGGATACCTTGAATCAATATCGAATATTTTTCATCTTTTATATCAAAGTAATTATTATTTACTTCGCGTATCGGACCAATGTACAATAATAATATTGGCAATAATTAATAGATTTAAGAAAATTGTAATAAATGGCGATCGATAAAAATGTGATCAAATTTAAATAAATCAGAGGTTGAAAATTTAATTTTTCTTATATGAAAAGAAAAGGAATAATCTCGTAAAATAAAATTTCTTTCGTTTAATTCATTTTTAGAAAGATATCATGTTTTTTAAAAAATTATAAATTTAAAATCGTAATTTTTTTTTTTTGTTACACATGGAATCATATAAATACATAATTTCGCAAAATTATTCCATTTTAATTTTTTAATAGTTTATATTTTTATACACGCTTCGATAATGCGCCGAAACAATGACAATCGCAAAAAATTCATGGATATTCTTCCGAAAAAAATAATCTAATCTTTTAAATTTAACAACAAAACATTCATAATCGATACGTTTCGCGAAATCATTCAATGTCAAAGTAAGTTTTATTCTTTAGCTCGAATAAGAATGAAACTTGGTTAAAAATGTAAAAAATGTAAACAAAAAAAAAAAAAAAAAAAAAAAAAAAAAAGGAATTAATCAAAGCCGTCAAGTATTTTTGTTCGCTTGCATATCCCCATCCAACGAAGCGTGTAACGTGACACCGAAACAATAGATCATAAATTTTTTCGTTGAGCTCTTTCAAACGTTTGAGCTCTCAATTTCTCTTCGTGTTTCGGTAGTTGTTATTTTATACGATCTTTATCGTATCGATAAACGAAACACGAACGAAAGTCGAGTTTCGTATTCGTTGTCGATCCAAGGTACCGATAAACGACTTCGTGCTTTGCGCGATCCATCCTTGTTATCTATTCAAATTATTCGAAACCTTCGAATATGTAAGTTAAGTTAAAATTATTATTACATTTGTTAAACTTTTGTTCGAAATTAATCGAACTAATCGCTCTTCGAATAATCCCGATTGGCTTGGTCATTCACAATTGAACGGGTATTATTCGAAAGTAACTTTATTCGAAATTTTAACCGGTTTTTTCAACTCATTTTTCGTTTTATGGTTTCGCGTAACATATAATTTTGAACTGAAAAAACGAAATTCTTCGTGCAAATCAAAACATAATAGTTTTTTTTTTTTATATAGAAAAAAATATTGCACGGATTAATATTTAATCGTTATAAAAGGAAATTTTCTTGAATTCAAAAACGATTTTTACATTATACGTTTGCAGAGACATCCGGAAGGTGTTGCACAGGTAACATTTCGGGAACCAGCAGAAGCACAGGCTTGTATTCAATTATTAAACGGTCGTTGGTTCAGCCAAAGGAAAATATCGGCTGAAATCTGGGATGGTAAAACGAAATACAAGTGAGTTTGGTTATTCTCTCATTTTTCGTAGTCATTGTCTTTATCCACTGACATAAAACTTTATTTAACGTCAGTTCATTATCCGTCGAGGCTTGCTTTTTATTATTACGTAACATTATTACATAGCATACATATCGCATGAATTAAAAAAATAGCGATTTAATCGTATCTCGCGTTCATGATGATAAAAAGAAAATATTTCTTATCTTCGTTTCAAGCGGAAAAACGATTTTAGCAAATATTTTGAATATTTTATTATTTAAATAATTTAGTAATTTTAATATTTAAGATAACATTTATCACTTAATGATCATAATATCATCATATCATTAGAAAATTATAAAAAAATATACAAATTACATAATTAACAAGAAATAATAATTAATCTTTATTAATCTTAATTTTTTTCGTTTAAGAATTTACAAAAAATCGGTAGGACAACGAATCGATAAATTATAACAGAGTAGATACAAAGACGAACGATGAAAACGTAACATTTTCCAAATCGATTTTTTTTTTCTTTTTTAGAATTCTAGAAACAGATGCGGAAACGGAAGCTCGAATCGCTAAATGGGACAAATATCTGGAAAGCGAAGAGGAAAAGAAGGAAGAGGAAATTGCGAAAAACAAGATACGAAAGGAGTCGAAACAAGACGAAAGACCCGTAATTAGAGAGAAAACGGGGTTAACTGAAACAATAGCGAAGACATTGGAAAAATCGGAAACGACGCAACTCACGAATATAGCGAAATACGCGAAGACGTTGGAAAATACAAAACGAAGCGAAATATCATTAAATTCGCAGGAAGCAATAAAAAATATCGAATAGATGTAATAAAAATTCTATCGAGAGATACGCATTCACGAACCGATCGCGGGAAAAGCACATGCTTTGTACGAAACACATAATTAAGAGTAACATCGATGATCGTGATCAGCGAGAAGTATTAGAACAGTCGATAACTTTTGATCAAGTAACTCGTAATTCATCGTTGAACATTCAAATATTATATTATATCAAATGTATAAATTGGAAATCACGTTCTCGTTACTCAAAAGAAATAAAGGAAAATAATTTTCCCCGTAATTTTTCTTTCACTTTTTTTTTCTCACCTTTTCAATTTCGCTTCTTATTATTTTGCGTTTTCAACGATTTAGTTTACAATCGATATTTACGAGATACAATACGTCTTTAAAATAATTATCTTCTTACAATCGCAAGTAAATTTTATACAAGTCGTTTAAATTGGAAATATTTTTTTAATATATTTAAATTACCAATACTTAATAAAAAATACTTAATAACATATATATATATATATAACATTACAAGCAGAGATGATTCCTAGAACGAACAAACGAATTTTATAATCTTAAAAGTGAAATACGTATTTAAAAAGTATCGCAGGATCGTACGAGAAAAATTTCTGAAAATCCGTTACGCTCTATTCGATTAAAATTTCGAAGATGATTTCTCGTTTCGTCAATATAGTTTTCAACTCGATCGTTATTTAATTTTTTAACGTCGAAAGCACGTTGTTCGTTTCGTAACAAATTTCTATCTAGAATTATAGAATTCCATTATCGGGAACAAGAAATAAACGATCGTTAGTGCAAGAGCTGCCGTCAATCATTATAAATTGAAAAACTCGATCAAGAATATTGGTTTCTTTTTTTTTATTTTTTTATTTTATTTCTTTCTAATACTCGTAATAAAAATGCGTTACGTGCAACGAAAAAAAAATAAGAGAGAAAACGCACGGAGGTATCACAAATGGAAGATGAAATCTGAAAATAAAATCTAAACAAATGTAAAAAAAAAAAAGAAAAAACAAAAAAAAAGCGAAATAAAAATTTCTCAAACAAAGTATCAAACTATTTTATCCATTAACAATCTATTTATTTACATTACTTTGTTTAACATTTTTTAAGATTATGCATATATTCGATTCAAAATCGCATATTTTTTTTTTATTATTTCTCTCTTCTACGATGCTTTTCCTACGAAGAACTTTGAAACAAATTTAAATATTATAAGCATTACAAACATTACAAACATTTTGCCAATTCTAAAAGCTCTTTTTCTTTTTTCATATTCCTTGGTAAAAATTATTTCGTCTCTAAATCGCGTTTACCTAAAAAAATAGAATTTATCGATTCATAAGCTAAACGTCGAAGAAAAACAACGTACGATCGGAACCTAACCCGACGAGCAAATTAAAACGGCGAGTTTCGCGCAATCGCGTATGACAAGTACTTTTTACGGGATAAATCGAATCATCGAACGCGTAAAAATAATAATATTAAAAAAAAATAATAAATTCGTCTAAAACAAGAAGAAAGAATTTATCATGGAAAAAGATGATTTTTAATCGATGAAACCGTTTAAAACGCGTTACAGAAAGAAGAGAATATTAAAGTCAACGCTTAATTTTTTTTTTTTTATAATAGAAAACTTATTTAACTTTTACATTAAACAGAAAAATAAATGGATCAAACGTTGGAATATTTTCTCAATGTTAAATTTCGTTCTTTATTTTATGGTATTTATACGGGATGAATATTAAATTTTCTCACTTATCGATTTACGATTTATCGACTTATAATTACGTTTTTATATTTTATTTATTTAACAATCACTCGTATTTTAAGATTTTATTACATGATACAGCGACAAAATGTTTCGGGGAACAGAAGGAATACGTCCGTTCCGCTCCGTATTCGAAAAACGACTACGTTCAATCGATACGTATACAATAACAATCGACGCGACACCGCGCCGCGATTCACGTTCGCTATAATAATTCGTAGGAATATTAATATTTATTTCATTTTATTAGTACATCAATCATTATCACGGTGGTTCTTTTTTATTTTTTTTTTTTTTTACGTTTACGTCTATAGATTTTTATAGATCATTAATTTTAACATTTCTTTTTTTTTTTCATTTTTCGAATAGTTTAATTTAATTTTCTTTCTTTTTTTTTTCATTATTAATCGACGAGATTGATAAAAGGATATTTTTTCTTTATCTTTTCTTTTAATTTAATCATTTTTTTTTTTGAATTATCGTTTAAATCATCAGTATCGTAACTCCATTTATTCGTGAAAATTTAGTTACGCTTCTTTTTTGGTAAAGATATGTTTTATATATTTTGGAGAAATTTAATGTTTCTTTTTTTTATTATTCGTGGCGCTTTAATAGTTGGAACGACGAAACGAAAATAATTGGAATCGGTATAATTTTTTTTATTATTATATTTTCGTTGGTATCTTTGATTTTCGTTCGATCGGTAGAATTTGGAACGATTTATTCTTCTTC